TGTGGGTGTGGGTGTGGGTGTGTGGGTTTGTGAGTGTGTGTGTGTGTGGGTGTGGGTGTGTGGGTGTGAATGTGGGTGTGGGTGTGGGTGTGTGAGTGTGGGTGTGTATCAGTAAGAGATCTATACTCACATCCGCACCCCACACCCACACACCCACACCCACACACCCACACACCCACAGCAACACCCAGCCATTCCACACCCACACCCACACCCAAACTAGTCTTATTAGGATTCTTTTATTATGATGTCACCTGAAGTATGATCAAATAGCATAGAAAGAAAGAGCTATTTTCGCTCTATCATCCGATGTAAAAAGAAATTTTTTCTCAAGCTTAATAGGTGGTAATAAAATGTCATTGCCACTACTTTTGGATACCCCTATGTAGACGATATTTTTTCAATGACATAATCAAATTTTCATTCATAAAACATCTAGAGTAATTAGTTTTCTCGTCAATACAATAGCAAGTAATGTAAATTACCTATATTTTTATATTTCATTTAAGTATCTTTTATTAATTGAATAATATGTTTTTTTATCTAACATTGTAATCTTCTTGTAATTCATCAGCAATATTCATTGATGACCATCTTCTGTGCAAATCATGGCAAATTAAAATTTGCTCTATAAGTTTTTTTATATTTTTGAGATATTGTTGCTTAGTAAAAATGATAAAACTACATAAAACATTAAAAGATCACATACAGAAAACAAAGATTTCGAAAGACGATTCGCAAAAAGAATCATTGAAAATGAATGACGTACAGCGATCATATTTTTATACACAGTCAATTAAAGCTGCAGACATTGAAAGAAATATAACGTAGACATCTAATTGATATTTCATTGTAATTTTCTTCGATGTCACGCTCCCTAATATTTCTTCGTTTTGATGTCTTCCTTTTCCTTTATTCTCCAACTTTCCGAAAAATGTTTGGTGTTTAAATTTGTTTAGATTATTCTAAATGAATTTTCTCTATAGTTCGAGTTTATATATCTTTCCTATGACTAGGTCTCGAGTTATGAAAATCAAGGATAATGTTCACTTTGTTACGAGAGACTGCATGCCTAACTTAGAACATTTCTAGGCTTATAATAAGAGAAAAAAAGAAATTTTCTATGAAATAACAAAAATTTTGTCTCGCACTTTAGGCACTTGCATACATTCCACGTGAAATGATAGCACCGAGCTAGAGTATCAGTGGGAATGTTAGTGGTGTGGGTGCGGGTGTGGATGTGGGGTGTGGGTGTGAGTGTGAGTAAAAGAAAGATCTATACGTACACTCACACCCACGCCCACACCCTCCCTAAGGATAAAAAGAACGAAAGAAAAATCCTTCCAATAGTTAATGGAAAGGTTTATAAAATTTTCTATTCAAGTAAACAATGATTGTAAAACGAAAAGAAAGCATTCCATATTGGTGTAGAACGGCAAAGAATACGTTTCTTCCAATATAAAACACATTTTTCTTTTATCTTGTTTAATTGATATATTTTTCCGCTGGTTTTTTTTTGCTTTTTCATTTATAAATAAATTGAAAATTTTCCTTCTTTTGCCATTGCTTGAACGAGAACTTCAACGCATATCATCTACTATCATTCTAAATGACTTTTAATCGAATTTTCATCGTAAAATGATAAAAGTATTCTTTAGATTTTTTTTCGAAGTGAAGAAGATAAGAATGACATAATAAAGTTTACTGTTATCTTCGTTAGTTAAGCAGGCAGTGTTGAAAAAAAAATGTTGATCAAATAAAGAGAATGATAGCTATGATATGAATTATCGATGTCATGAATGAAAGTTGCAATAGAAAAATACTAACGAATAAGTTTGTTTCAAACAGAAAAAAGATATCAAAGTGGTTGTGAACATGGCTTTGTCTTTATTTATTTTTATTAGTTGGTTTGTATGTATACTCACATGTTATTATATAATTCGTCCTTTTTCGATTAAATTAGTTCGATTTATTTTAACAAGTTTTTTATGTATATTATTAAGTTATATCACTTGTCAAAATCTTCCTCGATTTAATGCATTGGCAATATTCACAGTTGTAATATGTTGGTTAACCTCAATTCGTTTAATTGCGTTGACATCATTTTCAACAAACATATTGTTAACATTTCAATCATTTTTATTGAAAATTCTTTGGATCTATTTTCCAATTTTACCAAAAACAAAAGCACAAAATCAATGGCCTATTATATATAGTATAATATTAGTCATAATCAAATTATTAATAAATCATTGGATTTATCGATGGCTTATTAAATGTGACATGGGAGTTAATTATCAAAGAATTTTCATGCTTTATTTATTTCTAATAACAATACCGTATATTCTGGATATTGAAATGATTTTTGTACGGATTTTAGCTCGAAATAAATATACACTTGAATCATTTACCAATTTTCCAATATTTAGTTTATCATTACGAGAATTTTGGGGTCGAAGATGTAATCGAATTGTTCATAAAATTTTAAAAGAATCAATTTTTGAACCAATTCGATTGAAATTTTCATCGTCGACTATTGCAATAATGATAACATTTATTATAAGCGGTCTTTTTCATGTTCATATATGGCTTGTTGCCTTTGATGATAAATCATCATTATTTCCAACTTTCATGTTTTTCTTTTTACACGGTATTGCTTGTTCTATTGAAACAAATATGAAATTTCAACTTCCTGTATATGTCGGATGGACAATAACACATGCATTTCTCCTTATTACATCACCACTCGTAGCTAGACCATTTATAGAAAAAGGATCTCTATTTTTAATACGTAATCCTACACCATTTATCAATGTTAGATGGATACCAAAATTACCTTTACCTAATTTTTGTCCATGATAAACTATTTTCAAATATTATTGTTAATACATCATTTCGAATATTTATTCGACAAAGAAAATTCTTTTTTGTTTTTTTAAATTCTCTGATGAAAATTCCACTATTGAATTTGATTCATTTAATATAGAAGTATATATCTCATCAGTATTTCACATAACTTAAGGAATTATTGGTAATACTGATACTGGTTTTTACTAATTGAAAGTCATAGAGAGATAAGGTCGAATTACAGTTCAAAATTCTTGATTATCCGGAGGGTGTGGGTGTGGGTGATATCTTCACGAACACCCACACCCACACTTTAGTTCGAAAATGGGTAGAAGAGGTTGAATGGAAGACATTTGTAAAGATGTTGAATAGTCAACAATAAAATATGATGGTAACGAGCCGTTTTGACGAAGCCGGTAGAGAATCGATTGATACTCGATAGATGTAAATATGATCATTAGTGACTGGCAATATACCAGTAGATTCTCAAGTCACAATAGATACTTAGCCTTAGTATGCTTTGACTTTTCAAGAGGAAGATAGGCTATAACAATGATCGTAACATTATCGCGGTTGTACCATGTGAATGAAAGTTTCGATGCACAATTGAGGGAAATAAAAACGAAAAATATTGGAGTTCTTTTGTCAATGGAAATACGATGGCTGCAACGACGATCAATAGACAAATAGAAGTGTATTTGCATAAGCCACTCATAAGCATTGTCTAAAACGAAGAGGATACAGGTATTTTGTTGGAAAACTTCGGAAAAACATAATATGATATGATAATGAATCATGTTGTACTGTTCAAAAAAGAAAACCAAAATGGAAAATATGCAGTTCGCGTACAATTGGCATAAAGTGGACTAAAATCAGGTTTTGAGTCAGTTAATATTTCACCTGCTTTGTTGTTTAGAAAAGCTCCCCACCATCCAAACGTTCCTATAGTGATGATCACATGATCACATAAAGTGAGAATAGCCAAGTCGTCGGTGGGGCTAAATGAATTCGGTGTAAAAATAACATCATTTCGGTTACTAAACAGTTTTCGACAATATGACTTGTCATCTGTCGCAATAATAAAACGAACTAAACGATACTTGTCTACAAAATGAGTCATTGCATTGAGTATGTACCTGTCAGATGAAGTAAGCCCAACTAGTGCAAGATCTCCTCGTCGTACGTGTATTCCTACAGAAGTTGTGGTA